GTCTGTATTAAAAACGGCAGCTAGACAGTGACGGCCGCTCTAAAGCAGGGATTTGTTGTTTTGCGATAAAACGCCATTACAGTCGGGGCACGAAAAACACATTCACACTGTACCTAAATCCTCAACCACAACAATACCACCAGCATTACCAGGTACACACTGAGAGATCTCATTGCGTAACTCCAAAGTCGTCATACTCGGCAGGCGTGAACAAGGTGTGACACGTTACAATGGTAGAGTTTTTTGTTGCCTGGTGAATGGGTTACCTGCCGAAATTCGTCCATTTTCTACATCTAAACCATAATGGTCCCCACCTTCAGCATGTAGTGTGCAACAAGGGTACTGTCAATGGTTTTATGCTCAGCTTTCTTGCCCCATAGAGGCCAAAGTACAGTCAGTCTATTTTACTGCTTAAAATATTTCACCATTGTGCTGTGCAGTTTTCTGAAATGCTATCGGGATGTCGCGCGTGTTGTTCGGCACGTCCGTCCTTTTGCGCCACGTACTGTGGGAGCTTCTTCAGGAACTTTAATTTCTTCCAGTGCGTGGACCGAAACGTCAAGAGATCTCGGCCGGATAGCAGCACATGAAACAAAACCTTACAGCACATCTGAGAACAAAAGTGTATTTTATACACGAACAACAACCCCTCAATTCACCATTCATTTGGCGAGTGGAAGAGATAGCAAGCGTTACCACTGGATGACGTGGAAAGATGGACGAGTCGTGTCCGGCCAGCAAGACCCGCTGTTGCCAATCTCTGCCTGTGCTTAAGCAAACTGTTCATGATCCCCATGGCACACCAACCTACAAACTGTAGGATTTTGGCAACTCCCAAATAAGGCGCAGAAATTAAAATATTTCCACAATTCTACCTATTACAGATTGGACGGCACATGCATGAACATTGGTCTGCTTACTTAGAGCTCTGTATCCGCTCTGGCAAGCGTTGATCCGAACAAAACTGGAGGAACTGGATTTATAGCTGATGCAATGACCTACATGCTGCTACAGGTCTAATTTTTCACTATTCAGGGAGAAAAAAAAAGGTCAACGGGGGGGTAAACTAATAACACTTGCAGCTCTACCACAGTTTTGCACAACATTATATACATGGCTGAGTATGATCGAATACAGAGCAACTCCTCCTGTTTGGGTCCATGATACCCAGATGCTCCCTTTATCCACGCCCCCTAATCGAAACGGTGGAAAGCCTTTTTATCCACGAATGTAATCTTACCAATATCTGCATTTTTTTCTGTGGGTAACAGGATTCACCGGAAGTAGCTGCACGTTCATTTGAGTATCCTCAATGGACGACACGAATGACTCATCCGGGAAAGGTCGTGTTGGCAACTCTTTCAACAGCAAAGTAAAAAAATCCTCAGCAAGTCAGCGTATGTCGTAAAATACACTTTTAAAGTTGTCAGAAATGTCACTTGCCAATTTACCAAGCATTACAGAAGTAAATTGATACAGGATCTTGAATACGTACCCACAATGCCTAAAGATGTACAGTATGACGCCCGCGTCTCAAAGTCACTAGATTTGTCGCGAGTTTCTTCAACTAATTTTAGTTGCCAGAACAAAACGAATATTGCTTAGGTCTAATGACAAAATCTCTAAGTTGGCAACATTAAACCTCCCGTGTGCTAACTTCTTCTGAACACAGTATTAGAGCTCAGAGGCTTGAATATTAGAAGTCACCACCTAAGAGAGTTTGTGACAAATTCAATAAGCCTTTGCACGGGCAAGGGAAATTACCTGGAAAGGCAAAAAAAATCACCGTATTATTAATCTTCTTATCCGCATGGATAACACAAGTCATTTGCGTGGATGAGTGCAAATAGGATGTGCCAAGTCCCCTCTTCCCCTCCCCCAAACATCGCCACGCAGAGCACACATGAGCCTTGCGGCCGTATTTGTTTCTCGAATGCTCTCGCTATCACTTGTCCAGTTGGGTTTCTTGCAAGTTTATGTAAAAGCTAAACCGCCCATGACGCAAACGTGGAGTATAAAAAGAATGAGTTGGTGCTTAACGGTGCTAGTATTCAAATGTAGGAACGCAAATGAAGGCTGCCCGGGGATAGCGTGACACACGGCTGCCTTTTGAGAGCTCTCTCGTGCCTTCACGCCCACACACTCATTCCACCCCTTTGCACCATTTCCTTTTGCCACAAGCTCAGCACATGAAGTTGAAGGCTGGTGGGCGGGCTGGTGGATGGGTGAGTGAGGGAGCACAGCAAGCCGAAAGACAGAGCCCACAAAAAGCACAACAAAAAGGTGATCAAGACACACACACAAAACACCCCATTGTAAGCACAACAAGAGTCATGAGGCTCTCGTTAATCTCACAAGGCAAACTTTACTTGAAACCGCTTTAACCCCGGTCTCATACTGTATACTAGTTGGGATTATGATGTCACATGGTTGTCGATAGGGCTGGCATTATGCTTAAAGCTACAAGCATTGCGGTGTGACAGTGAAGCCAGTCTTCACCCCAGCCTCTAAATCAAGTTACTGTACCACAAAAGCAGAACAATGTATAAAACAACCTTACCCTCGTAGGAGGGCTTTCTTCATGAATAAAAGATGACATCGGTTTACAGATAGAATCGGCGCTCAAGTCATCATGTCTTATGCAAGACTGTGACTTGATGATAAAGATGCAACTTTGGCCTGGCAAACAACTCGAGCGGACACATACAATGAGTAAAAGCAATAATACACGTTATACACCCACTAATTCCGGCAAACTCGGCTCACCGCCGGTTCCCGACGGCACCCATCATAGCCCCAGTCCAGCCCTCCTCCACCTCGCTCATCGCAAAAACGTGTCCAACAATCCTCTAAAGTTTCTCTCATCATCGTTACAATCTGCATGGTGGTGGCCAGGAAAATGGTCACGAGACGGCAGGAGGGCAATGGATTCCTACCACACGTCGTTAATGCAATTGGCCAAACCATCACTAAGCAGGCCTGCCCTGAAAAAGTATTGAGACGAAGGTTTAGGCGCTTTCATGAATAAATCATAGGAGGTATCACTTGTTATTATTACAGCTTATCACCAGCTCATTGTCCTCCCGTTATTCCGTGGTTCTCCACATCTCGCAAGCCTGCCACCAACATTTCACCGCCGCAATTCTATTTGTCCCCAAACCATCCCAAGTGATGTGATGTCATCTTCCTCCCTTGGTATGCAGGAGGTCGGCAGGTTCGATTCCGAACCAGACGCCTGTCTATTTGGAGTTTCAATTTTCTCCCCATGGTCGCGTGGATTTTTCCTCTGTGGGTCCCTCTGGTTTTTCCCTCCAAATTTAGAAACATGCATTGGGATTATTTTCATTATTTTGGTGCTGTAAATGCCCTAATTATAGGCCACTTTGTTGAGCTAGCATTTGTGGCCACATCGCTTCTGAAAAATAAGTTGATACCTCAGTGGGGCTTTTGCCTGGTAGGATGGGGATGGTTTAGTTGTTGTGTTTGTGCGAGTTGTTTACCGTTCTTGTACTTTGCACTACCATCATGTCTTTGTACGGTGTGTTGTTGTAACGTTCTTACCCGCCCCTATCGGACATCGGTAAAACATAGCTTTATAGCTCATCGGATTCCTCCAGTACAAATAAATATTCTGATACCCTCCATCCTTCATCCGCCTCCCCAAGAACCGCACTGCCTCAAGGCATCCCCTCGCCCCACAGTTTCCTCAAGATCCCCACATTCCTCCACCCCCCTCCTACAAAATGCCTTTTGCCCCCAAGGGCCCTGTCAATCCGAGTCCCCATGCTCGAGGTCCCCTCTCTTGCCCCCTGATTCTCCTGCCACATTGCATTCAGCCGCGTTTTTTTTCACTCCCGAGCCCTTCCGTCCACCATTTCACCCCAGTCTGTTTTCCAATCAGCTTCAACACGACACCAAACCACGTCTTATCCATACATTTTCACATTCTCACACCGTCCACGGCGTACAATCCGTCAACTATTCTCCCACATGCTGGCATGCTCTTACAACAAACTCGCGAATGGTAACCGCCTCTACCAGCCCACCTCCCAACAACACACGTGCTATCGTGACCAGTGGCTTCTTTGAAGGCTGTCCCGCCACTCGCCATTAAATCACCGTCCATCTTGAACATTAACCACCTCATTGCTACTCAAATCCAGTACGTGGCCATCATCACCAACAACATTACACCCATTATCAACCCAAAGCTCAGCTGGCTCATGCTCTCAGCCACTCGTATCAATGCCACATTACTCCACTACCACAGCCCTTTAAACTACCATCACCCAGCCACATTTCACAGTAACCGCTCATCGTCATATCCATTGTCGCACTATCAACTTACAACCACACCATTCACTCGTTTATCACGCACGCCAGTCCATCGCTACCATAACTTTTACTAAATCAATCCCAAGTCACTCAACTACACCATTCGACTCTCCTACCATCATCAACCTACTCTCACAATCGCCCACCGAAACACCACCCCACAAATCCATCCACATCGTCACCCATCCATCCACACATTTAAACCATCCCCTCACAACCATAAATCACGACCACAGCGCCATCCATTCAGCCTACCCAAACCCACCACTATCTCAAACCCTTCTAACACCTACTCACAACCAAACATGCCTTCGCCCACGACCATTACACCCACACCAAAATCCATACTGCCATTCCAGACATGCTATCAACTTATTGGCAACACCACAAGCCCCAACTACATCATCTCCTATCCATACAATGCCAGGGTCCCGTCACCACCCCAGTAATCCTATCCACCCCACCATTCTATCAACATGCCCATCCCTACCCACATCATCCCCTTCGACATCACCTTCCAAACCCAATGGACTCCACACCGCTAACCCAAATCCCATCTCCACTCAATAACATTTACCCTATCCCCCCCCCCCCCCAACAAAAACAACAACAACAACAACCCCACCACAGTGATTCCCCCTAGCACCACCACTCGTCCACCTTACCAGCTGGAACTCCCGCCTCCTCCTGTACGCCTCGGCGATGCCTCCATCGGCCCAGAGGTGCCGCAGGGCCGGCACGTACTGCTGGAAGACGGCGGGCGCCACCTCGTTGAGGCCCCCCCCGCCTCCCCGACCGTCGAACGCCATCGTGAACGCCGCGTGCCTCTCGTTGGCCTGCTCGGACCAGGGGATGCCCAGCTTCTGTCGTGCGTCCACCAGCACCCGCATGCCCTTGATCACGTTGCCGTAGATGGTGGCCCTGAAGTCGTCGAGGGCCCTCTGGTCGAAGTCGCGGCCGTGGATGATGCGCATCTGCTTGAGGAATGTGCTCTTGCCGCTCTCGCCGGCGCCCAGCAGCAGCACCTTGACGACCCGACGGGCCAGGTGCTTCTCCCGCGACAGCATGGCGTCGATCTGCTTGCTCTTGCGACGCTGCTCGATCTCCCTCTGCGAGAGGAAGCATGTGGGGAAGCAGCCGGCGAGGCACGAGTCCGTGGGTAGGAAGTCGGCCATGGCTGCTGCTGCTGCTGGCTTGTGCTGCTGCTGATGGCTTCTCTTCCTCACCCGGACCGCTTGCTCGCCCAGTTCGTCCGTCTCTGCCTCTGCGTCTTCCCCCACCACCACCTCCTCCTCCACCACCACCTCCTCCACCTCCTCCTGCTGCTGCTGCTGCTCCTCCCGCCCCTCTCGCCCTTTGTCGGGAGGGAGAGGCCCGGCCGCCTTGTCCGTGGACCCGCACGCAGACGCCAACAAAGTACCCCGCCCGCCCGCCCAACAGGCCACGGCGTACTAACGAACAACCCCCTCGCCTTAGCGATCAACTTTTACCTCCCTCCCTCCCTGCCTCCTCCTTCTTCTCCTTCCCGCCCGCCCGCCCGCCACTGCTTCCCCGGCTCGCGATCCGCGCCGAGCGCCGCCGGTTTCGCCTCTGCCGCCACCGCTCCACGGACCCCAAAAAAATAAACTTCGCGTCGTCCTCGGCCGGTCGTTCGTTGTTCTCTTCCCTCCTCCTCACTCCCTCCTCGTGTTCCTTGTAACTTCGCTATCTCCTCCTCCTCCCTTCTTCTTCCTCCAGGCTCCGGTCCGAAGCCGCCTCTCGCTTCACTCGAATCCCTCCGCCTCCTCCTCCACTTCGTCCGTTCTTCGCCGACGCGACAATGTCTCTCTCGCGTTGCCGCTTTATGTTGGCGTAACAACACCAACAACCACCACCACTAAAAAGAGAGATGGTTCTCGTTTACAGACGAGGAAACGTCGCGTGTCTGTGTGTGTGGGGGGATGGGAACGCGAGGAAACGCTGGAGAGGGAGCGAACGAGAAAGAATAAAAAGATGGGGCTGTGTTGGTGAGCGGGTGGAGTGCTGCGGGGGGACCAGGAGGAGGAGGAGGAGACCACAGGGCCAGGGGGAGGAGGTACCAGGGGGAGGAGGAGGCCACAGGATGTGGGGCGTTCATACAATTACAGAACGCGGGGGTGGGGTCTGCAGAGGTTGACAGGTCCGATCAACCACCCCCACGCACACAACCCACACACATACACACACACCCACACATATACACCCCCACACACATACACACCCACACACACACACAGACACACACACACACCCACACACATACACACCCCCACACACATACACACACCCACATACACACACCCACACATACACCCCCACACACACACACCCACACATACACACACACTCCCACACACCCACACATACACACACACCCCCACACACATACAACAACAACCGCCATTCGCCACTAAGTGGCGGTGACGTCACCACGACGCTTGTGCCAGGCTATGTGCACCTTGAGGCCACGTGAAGTGTCGAACGCCCGCGGGCAGGAGGTCACGGGGCAGACCCAGGTGCCACGGGTCGACTGACTGAGATGACTGGCTGATGCACCACCTGTGCCCCCTACTGTGGCAATCTGCTGTGCTTTAGCCACCCGGCGCTCCGCTCGTTGTTCTGAGCGTCGCTCCTCCGCCCTCCGTTGTTGTTGGAGGGCGACTGCCTCCAACTGCCCAGTAGCATCCTTCACGAGCCTCCTCTACAGAGGCCGATCTTGACACCGCTGGTGCCAGTCATCGGCAAGTCCACTCAGCTCCACGTCCTCCTGTACCACATCACTCCATCTCTTCTCTAGCCCGTGCCGCGCCTGTTTAGCCCCCTCGATCCAGCCGAACAAAAGCTGTCTGGGCATGCGGTGGCTGGGCATGCGGGCTACATGACCCAGCCAACGCAGTCTTGCCTGCCGGAGGAGCTCACCGATGGGACCTTGCCCAGATCTTTCAAGGATTTGTGAGCTCACACAATCCAGCCTGGTTAAACCCAGGATGGGTCGTAGGCCGGGCAGCCTAAATGTTTCTAACACCCACACACCCACACACCCCCCCACACACACCCACACCCCCACACACACACCGTGCCGCCCGGGTGGGTTAGGGTTGCTGGTTTGCTCATCATCGTGGGATGGAAGATCGAGGATTTTGAGATGTGGGACGACGGGCTTCACGCGGGTCAATTTGTGGCATTTATCGACAAATGAAAACCCGGTGGGCCAATTATAATGTGGAGTGAAAGATGTGTTGGGGTTTTTTTTGCTTCTTATTTAGTTTCAGTTAAAGGGAATAAAGCAAGTATTGAGTATATGTGTGTGTATATATATGAGGGCGGGCAGATTTTATATACAGTACATGTACATTTATTTGCGTCTGGCCAGAGTGGAAGAGTAGGCCAAACACCTTCTCTGCCAGGAGTGATGTAAGCCGGTATAATTGCAGGGCTGCGCATTTGCAACCGTTTACATGCACGCTATATATTATTTTTAGAGAAAGAACGACGGTTTATGAAGATACAATCTTTTCAAGAGGGCCGCGCTTCTCAATGTTAACGCTGCCTAGACGGTGAAATGATTCATCGTAGGAATAATCGGGAATTCCCCGGGAGAAGACCCCACGCACACCGTGAGAGAGCAAGATAACGCCCACGTGTAATCGAGACAGTCTGTTTGATGACACATCCGGGCAGTTTGTGGAACACATCGTGTCACACTTTGCCAGTCACTCGCAACTCTATTTGTCTACGATCTCAAGAACTACTACTGCAAATCAATTGCACTTTTGCGAATTACTGTACGGTGGGTGGTGCTTCCCCCCTACGCCCCATGCGGGGGACGGGACAGAAGAAGGGAGGCGGAGTGGTGACTTCGCTTTCGGGAAAGGGGCTGGACCATGGAATGGGGTGGGGAGGACTCTTGTTTTGCAAGAGGCGGAGTTTGTGTGGGGAGACTTGTGGTGGGGTTTTTTTTTTACACAAGAGGCAGGAACTTCGTGGGGGTGGAGCGGTAAGTAAGGAGGGGCAGAGCTAGAGAGTGTCTGGCCGAGGCTGTGCTTCGGGGGGTTATCACAGGAGTGTACTCTTTGGTTCTATTGGGTAAAGTCACGTAGGTGAAAATAAAATAACAAACAAAAATTAACAAAAAATCACGACGTTTCGGCCACAACACAAGCGGCCTTCATCAGGTGAAGGGACGAGACTGTCTGGAGGACAGCGCTGGAGTGGAAGAAGCCACGCTCAGATCACGACCTTTAAGCTGTGTGAGAAGAAAACACCAAGCGCCTTGACAAAGGAATTAGCATATAATTTAGCATTGAAATGGCTCATTGAAATAGCTAAGTTAAAGTATACACATCCGCAGAGGTACCCCTTGACAAAGGAATTAGCATAGAATTTAGCATTGAAATAGCTGAGTGATTAGCTTGTAACTGGTCACAGAAATAGCTATGTTAAAGTTAGAGCATATACATTCACCGAGGCACCTAGTACTCATCAAACAGGAGAATTTAGCGAAACACAACCACGCTCAGACAGCGGACCTTTAAACTTTTTTTTGTTATTTTATTTTCACCTACGTGACTTTACCCAATAGAACCAACGAGTATGGATCCTAGCAGTCACGAAAGCTTTAAATCTATCACAGGAGTGGCCAACGGGGTGGGAGTTAAAACGCTGTAGCTGCTCCCTGCAGTCCATGTCATTTCAGCAAGGCCATATGTCTGTCCTCACGAGCTGAGCATACCCATGTGACATCGGACATTGCGCCGAACAACACGCAGCAATGGTTTGATTTCACTGCGTTATCTCTCCGTGCGCACATCATTACATTTCAATTTTCTGTCCTTCCATATTGCGCCCTAGGATTTGGTTTAAATGCGGAGTGCAGTAAAGGAATCTATTATTATGTTCATTACAGTAAACCAAGGCAATGCGATGTTTTTTTACTGAACTGTATGTCTATAATTCACCATGACACCGCGGATCTGTGAAACGACTAAATCCAAAGACGGAAGTCGTGCAGAACTGACGGGCACAAGTTTGGGAGCAGACGCAAATACACTCCGCGCTGCTACATTATTCGCCTTAGTTCACTCCTCGGTGGAATACTGCGCTCCCTCTGGGCTAAGAGTTGCCCATCCTAACAACCAGACACCATCTTAAACGACACACGATTGCAGATTGTCACAGGTACACGAAAGTCAACTCCTTCACTCTGGCTCTCTGTGCTGTCAATCATTGCTCTTGAGATCTACAGACTTAAGAATTGCCATTAATACGGCCGCATCCAAGCCAACTCAAATGTGCCCATACATGCAGATCTATGTACTCGACCAAACTTCTGCTTGAAATGCAAATAATTATTGAGCACAACCAGACACATCATTATAAATCGGGGCTTCAGTGACTCGGAGAAATGGTGACACATTTCCGATCACTGATCTCAAGAAATAACCTCCAGGATTGAACTACTTCGAACATAATAGACCACATTAAATTGAATCCATAAATTTCACAGCCTTCCCAAGTGGAAACTCAACGGAAGCCTGGAATGTGATTGCAGAAATAACAACTAAATCATCGCCCACATAATGAACCACTCTGCAGACAATTCAAATATGGCAATGAAGCAATCCACCACACAACAAAAGGCATTTTTAGCTAACTAGTATAGACATGAATAAGTTGCTATTCATCCGGCCACATGCAAAGAGAAGCACATGATACATGTGAAATTTGTTATATTTAGGATTGTGATTGCTGACTGTAGGCCTGTTTTCATACAGTACGAGTAATGTTTTATGTATAACTAGCTTGTTTGCCCGTCCTAGGATGGAAGCTGTAATATTTACGAAAAAAATGTATCTTGTGTACATATAATGACAGTGAATCTTGCATGAAACTATGTCATCAAATACTTCACTTCATGTCACTGTGGCACTGTATATAACCGACCTTCAATTTGTTCAAATTCACTGCTCTGATACTTTATTCTCTTCTGCTTTCGGTCACTGGGGTTGATTTAAATTGTAATTCGATACAATATCTGGAAATTCACCGAAAATGTTCTATTTTATCATAATGTGGAAGCATAAATTAGACTTTCGTCTCAAGTGCTGAAGAAATAAATAAAGACACCAAATCCACTTTGTTGCTGCGTATAATTATTTATTAGATTCACTTTCAATAAAGAAACGTAAAACTTAAAGCGAATTTGTGAAAAAATGTATTTCCGCTCGACCGTATTTTGCGTACGTGTAAAAATCCACCCGCTCATGAATATTAATGAGGGGATGTGCGGCATGTGGAGTGACGTCACGCGCATTACACACAAACAGACATTCTTGGCTCATAGTATTACAGTAGTAATGATACAATGGCAATAATGTGATGCCTACGAATAATTGTGAACATATCTTGAGTTTTCTGAGTTTTAAACGCAGGTATCTCATGACAAATCTTCAGCTCT